CTTTTCATTTCTTATTACTTCAATACAAGAAATTCATGCAGTAATGCCATGTCAAAGCAATCACAACAGGAGGACAGAAAGTACTAATGCTGGGTGAGTCTGAATTTTGTAATATAAGACCTTTTCACACTTTCCCTCAAATAAAAAATCTTTACAATTAGAATTATCTGATAACTGTCATGTACATTAGAAAAAGATAAAGAGGAACCTCTTCTGTTAATATCAAAGTATAGGCCAGTTTTTAAACTTCCTTGTATAATCTAAATTCCAGATTGGTAGGCTGGGCACTAAATCAAAGAAGAAACAAAATATTGAAAAAAATGTTAACTGCCATGCACTAAATCAAGGAACAAAAAAATGTTAACTGATGCAAAGCCACCTTAACTTCCAGAAGCATTCTACCATTGCACACTACTACTTGAAGGGTTTGATAATTCATACTAAACATTATAACTGACCTGTGTACAGACTACTTAGTCTTACCTCTCCTCTCTCTCTTCCATCAGTACCCTCCAGATCCAGTACAACAGTACAAGGCTCAACACCAACACAACGTGCAATCCAGATACCTTTAGTAGTTTGACTCCTAATGACAAAAATAGAACAGCAATAACGTTTTCATGATATGGTTAGGGGTGATGATGGGTATAAAAAATGCCTATTAAATGACAAGGAACTAGTTAATAAATTATTTATACATGAATAAATAAAAAACGTTAATCTAAAATCATGTGGGGGAAAAGGAAGTTATATACCTTCCCCTGAATGCATCCATCTCCCTAAAATTGGTTCCAAATAGTTGGTTCAACAAGGTACTCTTTCCTGCTCAAAATGATGAAGGTATGATGAAAATAAATCCTTATTACTAAACATATATACTCCCTAAATTCCAAACTGTAAGACATTTTAGCTTTTCTAGATACATAGATTTTGCTATGTACTTAGAGATACACTATGTTTAGATACATAGTAAAAGCAATGTGTCTAGAAAAACCAAAACGTCTTATAATTTGGAACAGATGGAGTACATTACTTGCTCAAAAAGTACCAACAGCATATAGTGCCTTTTTTGTGCACAGGAGCAGAGCTCCCACTATATAAGGCTCTCAGCCTCAGCCAAAGAACATGAATTGAAAGCAAAATTTACAGTTCGGTATCAGAAAAGACAGTAAAGTTATTCCAGGCTGACTAAGTTGAAAGACAACAGCTCTTAGTGTGAAGTCAGGTTACTTGGGGAAAACATTGCCCTCAGTCAAACTAAATCATTATGAAAAGATATATTTCATGATGTATTTAGTGATACTAATTTGAAGGGCGGGCCTGGTGCAAGCGGTAGAGTCTTACCGCCTGTGACCGGAAGGTCCCGGGTTCGAGTCGCGGTCTCCTCGCATTGCACAGACGAGGGTAAGGCTTGCCACTAACACCCTTCCCCAGACCCCGCACAGAGCGGGAGCTCTCTGCACTGGGTACGCCCTTTTTCTATTTAGTGATACTAATTTGGTGTCATAAATGTTGGTGCTCTTTTCTATAATTTTGGTCAAAGTTAAATAATTTGACTTAGGACAACTTAGAAGTTGATTTAATTTGGTAAGGAGGTAGTATAACATATGCATGGAAGTGAATTGACAGCTTCAACCAGCAATGCCATGCACAGGAACCGTACTTTCAAGTCAAGCAAGTGTCAAAATTAATTTTCCATGTCACCCACAGTTAGAAAATCAACAATAATGAACAATGGACTATCCAAAATACTGTAAAAACATCGATGGATCAGAACAATAAGGCTTAGTTCCATACTGTAGCTTGCTGAAGTAGCAAAGTACTGCATATTGCATACTATGCGTTAGAAGGGCCGTTACTAGCAAATTAAGTTGCTAGAACAAATGCGTGCAGGTTTATGTTCAAGAAGTCCCGTTTTAGTTAGCTAGGTTTCGCGTGGACGAAATATCAGCCACAGTTAGGTCCTCAGTTTGAGGATGCACTTATTCATTCTCCATTACCGAATTAATCTAGGCATAGCATGAGGGCCTGAGGGGGCAACTAATGCGTTGTTTAAAATTAAAGCAGAGTACTACTACGAGTAGCAGATACTACACACACGGACACCACTCAATAAGTGCACCGTTGGGCCAAAAATCAACTGAACCGCCCGTTACCAACAACAATTCATGCGACGCCAAAGCAAATACTCAAGCGATGTCTAACGCGCGCCAAGCCCTTCTCGATCGCCGAATGGCTCGATGACAGTCATTCAGCCCGATCATTAGGGTCGCATGATCACCAGAGCACGCAGCATTTCGTCGAACAGGTGGCCAGCGCGCACGCAGGCATGGCGCCGCCCGGCGACCGAGCTCGGGATCGGACCAACCAAGCAACCAACCCAACCGTGATGGATCATGGATGGATCGTCGAGTGATGCGGGACGGGAACGGAGGCGGTGCAAGTGCAAGCAAAGCATATACCGCTGCTCTGTGGCCCCATGATGGAGACGACGGCGTAGGAGAGCCCGCACCCGGCGACGCCCGCGGCCGCCATGAACCGCTCCGCCCCCTCGGCCGCAAACTCGCCCTCGCCGTCGATCAGCTGCACCGCCACCCCCTCCGCCGCGTCGCTCTCCTCCATCTCGGCCGATCCCGTGCCGTCGTGGGGCGGGCGCGCCTAGGGCTCGTGGGGGAAATGGGATGGATGGGATGCGAAGATGGGGGGACGGATCGTGGCCGCGCTTCACTTGTCCGGCCGCTCGGCTTTTGCGGAGCACCATGCGCGCGCGGGCGCGGCGAAAGCACCCCTTCCTGGTTTTACACTTCTGCCCACCCGCGGCTCCTAACCGCCGTCTGCGCCCGTGCCTTGGTCTTGCTAATCGTTTTCCGCTTTTGCCCCTCGATAAGAATTTCGAATTGCGGTTTGGAGCCTGCCGATTAGGCTTCCCTGCATTGGTTACGTACCCACGGCAATACGCCGTTTACACTGGGAACGAGGCTTTGCACCTGAGAATAATAGTCCTACTAAGAAATAATAATGCAAATTGGTTACTCCATCTAGTCATAATCATAAAACAGGTGATGTTTTTGTGTTGTTAGAGTCAAAAATTGCAAAATGTGATTATAAATTACTTTTTCAAAATATTGGGTTTGTTGTTCCTCCTTTTGCTACTTTTCATCCAATCTTCAAGCAATCATGCTTCTACTATGTTACTTTTGTATATTATTTATGGATATCGGAATCTTTTTTTATCACACTTACTTTGGAACTATATATTATTCATGGTTTATATGTCACAATTCATCGAATGTTAAGTACGATGTATCATTGATTCACAGTTCCATGTTATGATTTCAGTGTTCAAATCAAGACTTACTTTTTTATTTGAGGCTTGGAGGGTTCCTCTACTTTTTTTAGGGTCTATTTTTTTTCTGTCTCTACCCTAACATGAGTCCTCAAATTTAGAGCCCTCAAATCCATTCCAGTAGATATGTCACATTGAATGAGCCTCGTCTGGGTGGGATGGGCACCGGCGAGCCAAGGATTGGATGAACACTGGGCCGAGGGGCTTTCTTAATTTGATGGAGCCGCACTGGGGAGGGGAATAGGGTGGCGGCACGCGAGAGAGTTGAGACAAAAAGAAGACGTGCATGATTGAATTGTTGCGGGAAATATTTTCTAGGAAGAAGTAGGGAGCTCCCTATGGACCCCTGGGATATAGGATCGAGGCTTGATTTGGAGACCTCCGTAAAGTAGGAACTTGAGTTGAGACCCTATTGAATTAAGTTTTTTTTTACCCTAGCACTAAAAGAGTATAGGCCCTGTTTAGGATCTATGTTGGATATGCTCTTGCTGCCCTACATATAGTTCAAAGCTCTGGAAAGACACTACTAGTAGTTCAATGCTTGAGTGAGTAAAATAGAACAAGGCAAGGAAAATATATGAAGACCGACAACGTATAGACTCAGAACTACATGTGTTTAGAGCATCTTCAAGAGTCTTTCTAAAATTTATTCAGTATATCATTATTTGGAGTCATTTAAGTAAAAATTCTTTATATATCTTTGTACCCTTCAACAACTTATTCATATCTTGTGCTCACATTAGAGAGTCATCATCGCTCTCCATCTTTGACTAGCGAGAAATTCGAAATAGAGGATGTTTATATTTGATATCCAATTATAGAGGCCGTTGGAGGGTATTTTCTCACAAAAATCTCTATTCCTATGAATTAGAAAAGATGTAAAGAGTCTCTGAGAGTTGCTCTTAGTCCTAAAGAGAATGTGTCTCTTACTTTTTGAGCAGTCAAATTTTTTAAGCTTAATTTGATTTATAGAAAGTAGTATAAACATCTATACCTCCAAATATATTTATATAAAAATATATTTCATATTTAATCTAATTTTGTTACATATCATTAGAATTTTTTATACATGTATTTGGTTAGATTTTTTAAAACATTGACTTTTCGTAAAGCGAGGTGTACATATTTTTGCGACGAGGGAGTACCCTGTCTTTTTTAGGAAGCCTGGCGTCTGTTGTCAAACTTTGGTCAGATAAAGACTTCTTCAATCAAATCTATTCCAAACGAGATTGACCCCAAAACCAGCAGTAACCGTAATTTATTCTATCTTAGTAGATGACAGTACAGGCAGTTGCAGGTGAAAAAGATGACGCAGAAAGATTCAGCTGTCTGTTGTAAGCCCCATGCATGGGCCATGACAATCCTTTGCTAAACAATTGATTGTTGCATTCTACACTTTGCAAGTATATCATATCAGGTTCTTAACTGAAAACAAAACAGAATAACTCTCACTAGTCACTCCAACACCAAACAATCACCCCCAAGAAACACCAAAAGCACAAAATCATCGCCTACATCCACACTGACAAAAGCCGGCACTCAAAACACACCATGATCCAGGTTCCATTCCATATTCCTCAGATCCGTCAGCTTCCTGTACTGCCAAGTGCCAAAGACACTGCAATACCTGCACCGACTGACGAAGAGACAAGAGTCAGTAGTCGCCCATGCCATGGCCACGGCCCGTGCGCGCGCTGCCACGGTGCCCGACGGTGCTCGAGGACCCGCACTCGCTGCCGGGGACCGACGACATCGTGCTCGCGCGCGCCCGCGACGCGCACCGCTCCATGCACCGGGACGGCGCGCCACCGCCGGGCAGGTCCAGCGGGTCAAGCGACGCCCTGCGCCGCGCGCTGCTCCCGTCCCCGCCCCCACCCCCGCCCCGGCACGGCGGGCGCTCCCAGCACGACGGCGACGGCGAGGCCGCGGCCGCCAGCGCCGCCGTCTCGGACGCCGACGAGAGGCGCTGCCTCGGCGCGCTCTGCGACCGCGCCTTGGCGCGCGACGACTCCGTGTTAGCCATGTAGCTCGGAAATGACGGCAGGTCCGCGCGCCACGCCCTGCGCCGGCTCGGCACCGGCGTCGGCACCGGCTCCAACGCGGAGGTGAAGGACGCGTCGTCGAAACGGCCGCTGAGCGTCCGTGCGCTCACGTCCGTCAGCGCCGACGGCGTCGGCGAGACCTTCTGGCACAGCAGCTCGGCCTTCGCCGGCGTGCGGCTCGGCGTCGTCGTCGACGTCGAGTAGTGGCAGTAGCTGCTGTTCCGCCGCGGGGCCGCCCTCGGCGCGTCGTCGTCCACCTCCACGATCCGGACGTCGTTCTCCTCCGAACCCCTCTCCGCCGCCTCCTGCACAGCACAGCGCAACCAACCACGCGCATTTGTCAACTCCTACCATCGTTTGAAGAAGGGCAGTGACAGTGAGTGCTCTGCTCACCTGTGGCTTCCGGGACCGCGGGTGCTGCGGCGAGCGCCGGCTCGGCGGGGGCCGCGGCGTGGCGGCGGCGGCGGCCTGCTGCCTGGAGGAGGCGACGTCCTCGACCTCGAGGAGGAGCAGCCGCTCGGCGCGCGCGCGGCGCTGGGCGTGGACGAGCGCCTGCATGCGACGGAGCGTCAGGTTGGCCTGGCGCCGCACCAGCTGGCCCCTCACCATCGCCTGCAGCCTCACCGTCCCCCGCAGCGCGCACAGCGCCTTCCTCGCCTGCGCAATGCAACCGTTTCACATTTCACTCCGTACGCGGAGAATCGCCGGAACCGAGAACCGCACGCGGCCGGTCCAAGAACGAACGTACCAGGTACGATCGGAAGGCGGCCTGGATCCTGACCGCTGCCGCGGCCTCCGCGTCACGACCGGCGCTCCTCCTCCCCGATGCCGGAAGCGTGACGACCGCACCCGCGGTGGACGACGCGGCCTCAGGGACGACGGCGGCTGCGGCTGCGACCTGCTGCTGCTGGTCCTGCTCCTGCGCCACGACGACGACATGCACCTCGGCCTCGGAGAAGCAGTGCGACGACGAGGACGCGAGCAGGCCCTGTCCCTGTGCGCCACCGGACGCGCCCGCGCCCGCCCCTGCGCCCGTCCGGCGGAAGCTCCACCGCCTCTTCTCCCTCCCTGACGGTGTCGCTGTCGCCGCTTGCGAGGGCAGCGGCGCCGACAGCACCGACTGGCAGTCGGCGTCAGCAGCCCTGTCCTTGGCCTTCCTCCCCTTCCTGCCGGACAGGAACAAGTTCCTGAGCCACCGGCCCGCCTTGCCCATCTGCGCAAGAAGCGCTACTCAACCCTGCAGCCGGCGTTTCTGGTGCTACTCCTCCCCCGCCATTACGCATTTGCACCGGCCACCGGCAGCCGCTGCAGATGCAGAGGGATGCAGAATGGAGAAGCAGAGGCTCTGTGATCACTCATTGCTACCTGGGACTGGGACTACCGGACGCTCACCTCACTGCAAGGGAGAAGATTGTTCCATTGCCTCACACGCCTGTGATCTGTCCCCCTGCTCCGTCCATGTGAGGAACTATTTACAGTCCTCGGAGCAACAGCTAGCACCTTCAATTTCTGTACCCGCCACCACAAATGACTGTCAGCTTCAATTGCATGAACACACAGAGGCATGGCTCATTGGCTCATGATTTATTATGAAACAAAAGGGAACAAACGGAGCGATCAGTGTCCTAGCTAACTGCCAGTTTGTGGTCTCCTATCTCCTACAACTAAAAAGAAAGAAAGAAAGTAAAATCACCGTTTCGTGCGACAATCGTCGTTCCGTCGGTCCGCCCCTCCCCTTGCGATACGATACCACGGCGACGTGGAAGGAAGGCGCCCCTTGCGATACGATACCGCGGCGAAGGAAGGAAGGCGTCGTACATTGGGCGACGTCGAAGGAAGGCGCCCCTCTTCTCCCCGTGCGATCCCGCGAGCACAGATGGAAGGCGCCGGCAGGTGGGACCGTGATGCCTGCTCGCCCCAATCCCGCGATCCATCCACGCTCCATCCGCTCCTGCGAGCCCACTCCAATCACGCTCGCGCACGCGCATCGCCGATGCCGCCTCTCCCTCCCTGCCCTCGGCCCTCGTGCACCGCGCCGCCTTCTGCTCATCTTCTAGGACAGCGAGACACAACGATATGTGGAGGTCGCCGCCGCCTCTCCACCATCCTCCGCGACTGCACCGGCACCTCGGCAAGTCGGACGCCGCAGGAGACCTTCGATGCGCCATGACTGCCCTCGCCCTCGATCGCCGAACCGCTGCCACAACTGACGTCCACACCCGTCGTGGATGACGACTATGATGCGTCCATTGTCTAGCCCCAATCCACCTCCTCTGCGCTCCATGGATCTTGATCTACATTGAGACCTTGACTGCTAAGGTCAGCACTTCTCGATTCCTGTTTCTCTTCCATATTGTTCTCCTGATACCCCGATCCCCTCCCCAGAGAGATGGAATACCAGAAGGATAGATGCGAGGGCAGGAACGTCGGTGGTTGTGGTTATGCATGTTGTGGAGAGATCTTTGATACACGTCAGGTTGCTCAAGTTGGTCATTGAGATGGGTTTTGGGTGAAAAAGAACGTCTACAACGTCTCATGTGAGGGTTGCTTTGGGTTTTGCGTGTCAGATTGATGAGGAGTTGGGTGTCAGATTGATGAGGAGACATCTAACAAGCTTGAACTCTCTATGGTGCAATTATTAATTTGCTGTTGCTTCGTTTCCCAATCTCTGTGATACGCGTCTTCTCTGCAGGTAGCATGTTCGATGAAATTCCACTTAGGGTTGTTTTGATTTTTTTGGTGTTTACTAAACCGACTTGCAGCCTCATGTATCCTGCACACTGAAATCTATTTTCCATGCATGCAAAATTTCCCCATCGGAGCTCAACCCTCCATGCGTTTTGTTCTGCATATTAAAAATCTACAAACATGCGTCCTTGCCTTTTGATTCTAGATTTAGTTGGTCCAGGAGTAAGTAGAATATGTGATTAGCCTTTTTCTAATGTCATTTGCATGTTGGTTGATTGGATGATGCATTTTTTTCTGTAGAAGGGAACCATTTAAGTAGTTTGTTCTGCCACGAACCTATTGTTTTGTCCCTTTTGTTTACCTTTAACGTCGATCATTTTTCTCTTCTGTAAACAAAGGTGATTTGTCTCTTTTGCGCTGGAAAGTTGTTTTTCATATGTAGCTTATTTCCTTATAATGCAATCAAAGTATTCTGATGGTGTTTTAGATATTTTATTTAAATGTACATAGTAATATGAGGTTACCATTAGTCATGTTAATAGCTTAAAGATTGAATGTGTGTTAGTAGCCATGATGCAATCTCTACATTATCTTGTAGCAAGGTTCTTTTTAATGCTTATATTACAGCCTCCTCTTGATGTGATCCTAGGTTTTGGTGGACAGCAGGGAAACTACCCCTACGTGTACAAATTTATGCATAGTGGTTGTAAATTAAATTAACCACAATGCTTAAAAATATTCAGCTAATTATAACATATGTTTCCAGCGCCCTAGCTTCCTAATAAATACTGATTATGGCACATGACTACTTTACTTGTTGAGAAGAATTTTTTTGACCTGAAGTGAACAGCTAAATGTGAATTTTGTAAAGGTCCTATAATGCAGTCTTTTCCTGTTGTTGATACTGGAAATGGTGGAGCCTTTTTTTAATTGAAATGCGACTTATTTTTTTATCTTGATTAGGCAACTGTGCTCTGTTAGCTGACTCTACTCTTTGTGTTCAATGCATCGTAGGTTATTCATATTTTTTGCACCGTAGGGGACAAGAATTGCGAGCTTCGATTGCACCATTGCGTGTCAATTGTTGGTGGAGGCTCTATTTTCAAACACCTACTACAATATATGGTATAAAATGGTTTCTTATAGAATATGTTTTTCAGATAACTATTAATTTGAAATAGATCTTGCTTGCACCCTTGAATTATATTGAAAAAATAGTTCATCAATTGTACAGTTCCACTCCTTTCTGCATGCTAGAAAAAATGTCCAGCACTCTAATTGAAGATGTGTTGTTTTTTTCTCCACGTGATATGTTGTTTTCCATCTCTCTAATACATTTGGAAATCCTTCTTTTATTGTTTTGCTCGTATACTGACAATAGCTTTGTAGTTTTGAATTAGTTGGGAGCGATGCACTGATGTAGCCTTGTAAACCTGCAGGTGGTATATGTTGCAGTTTACAACCACTATAAACGGATATACTATGAGGCTTTACAAAAGGGGTCAGTTTCACTTCTTTGTGTCAATTTGTCTTTTCTGCAAATAATGAAATAATGAATGATATTCATTCCAGCACTTGTAGAAACTGGAATTCATAAATAAATATCTACAATACTGGATCCACTGGACGTCGCTCCCATCGATCAGTGCCGCCGCCATTGCTGCCCCTTGGTGAGATCCCTGCCCGATTCAACGCGTCTTGCTACAAATCGCCAATCTGCGCTCTTGGTTCAGCACTGGCACACTGCTCTAGCAATGCTGTTGTTCAACTCCTCTGAACAACTCCCCACGCCCCGCAAGAACGACAGGTAGCCAGTCGAGCTCCCCACGCTGGTAAGTTGCTTGGCATTGGAGTTCCAATCCATTGAAGGTTTGTTTGCAAGGTCATTGCTGTGAACCCAAATATGGTTAAAGTGATTGCCAGTTTTGTGTCTTAATAAGTCAGTTTTGTGTCCTAATAAGTCCTCTTTTCATTTAACGATTCACTTGCACTGTTCAATGCTTTATTCCTGTATAATTGACCACTGCAGTTTTCAATGTAGTTCCCAACAAACCAAACATCTTCATTGCCTGCGTGCACAAGTGCCATCAGAGTCAATGCTTAATTAGCTACTTTGGTTTTTCTCTTATGATCATATTTTCCAGCTGCCGACATGGAACCTTATTAAAGTGCAAAAAAAGAAGAATAAGTTTTATCTTGAATTCTTGCATCTCATACATGGTGAATCCCTAGATTGGATAAGTTCAGACACGCTCAGAGTTTGCCTATGGTTGTATGCGCTGGCAGGTCATGCTTACTAGGTGTCGTTGTTAGCATAATTGCACTATTTCCATGCAGACCATGTTGGAGCTAGGGACCTTGCAGATCTATTTTTTATTAGCTGCACTGGTTTGCCAGCAAAGTGAAGGAAAACCTGTTTCTAAAGGCTGTATATACATGTGTCTCAAACTATTTTTTTGCTAGTTTTAACAGAGAGATTTTGTGTTTCCCCCCTTAATTCATATTTATTAGTTTTGAAGGTTAACTTTCTTTGACATAATACCATTTGCAGGGCCTTGGAGTAGTAGCTATCAAACTCATGCTGTTGGTTTATTAAATTCAGTCAAGATAGTCACTGCTGTTTATTAAATTCAGTCAAGATAGTCACTGCTGGTTTATTACAACACCGAGAAGATGTTCTATGATTACTACAGCGCCGAGAAGAATGTACTAATATTATGATTCTTATATGTTCTACTGATTCAATATCTGGCTTTTCTTTACTGCAATTAGTATCTAGCTTTTCACATGCCCTTATCCCTACTCTATTATGTGCAAATGGCTAACATTAATGTGCCTCAATTGCAGTTAAGCTAGCTAACATATCAAATTTTGATACAAGGCTTTGGAAATTAATCAAGGATCTAAATGACACCGATTTGTAAGTACCAATAAATTGGATATCTAATTAAGTACATCGTTCATACTTCTATATGATTTATTTTTTTCCATATATATTTTGCATGAGTGATGGTTATATGTTAATAGATCTTGAACTCTACAGGGTTGGTGACATCGTGGTATCATTACTCATTAAAAGACGGATATTAGAAACTTGCTCCCGTAGCTGTAGGTATATACTTAGATTTGGTGTAAACTAATTTATCTGTAAGTTATATTTTGGAACTTGGTTTAAAGTTTGCTTTTGACAAACAAGCCTTCTCTCTGCTTTGTTTAAGGAGAAAATTGGATTTTTGCTAGCCGAAACAGTGGCTTTGCGAAATTGCCATCCCAATTGTTGGTTTTACAAAACTGAGGTATGTCACTTGTTACCGAGTCTAAAGAATCAACACATTTCTTAGTTGGAATTTATGCCCTTGTAGGATTTGATGGAATCATGGAAATATGAAATATTGAAATTATTTCTTGTGCTAGACTACTGTCTTCATCAGAAAGATGTGTTCTTTCTGATATGTGCAGATCAGTCTCGTTGATACGTTCTCCTTTTTCCAGTTTGAGCAGCAGGTCATCTTGAGTAGCATTCTA